ATTCTCGGTATAGCATTGGACTCTACGATCGGCGGAAGTAATCCAGCATCCTGTAGACCTTCACCGGAAATACCGCCGTGCATAGAGCCCATTGTCCTTTAAACGTACAGTATGTAATTTTTGGCCACCAGGGGTCGCTAATCTCTTACAATAACAAAGGCGTATATCGATGACGCAAAGCATCAAGCGGAATTATGGATCTTGTCGTCAAGCTGATGGATCTTTTATGGATGAGTGAATACAGTGATGTTTTTAACATAACTGTGGTGTGAAGCAGGGCGCGATTGCTAATGAGAGTCAGATACCAGCGCCACACGCAACGCGAGTCCCGCGGATATAAAGGAATAAGGACATTTCATTCTACCGAACTACTCGCAAGTGCTGAATTAATACTCACACAGGTCAGTTTATTAGACGAATTAAACTTGAGGTAACGCAGCGCTGTTTCACTTGCTCTAACAGTTACATTATCACACTAAACGACATTTGAGTGTGTTGAATGTTGTTAGATAACTTAGGTTGTTTGTTGGCTATATGAGACTAGCAGTAAGCTAGATCAATATTAGAATAACATACAGATCATATTCTCACATTTCATCATACTGAACTAAATAACCTTGATTAGTTGTATGTACATTTGCTCACCTGTCTAATAAAGCACATGGAACACTCGCGTCTCTGTCGAGTCGAAGTTAGTCGCGGACGTGGAGCTCTCGGCATCTCGAAAGATTCTGATCTTCGTTCTAGTCCTCTTTTTGTCTCAAAGTCTCCTTGCCATGGTCCAAAATAATTGAACAAAACAACAACAGCGTGAGTGTCCTGCTAAGCATAACCCAGTTGTCCACGTCTGTCGCCATGGTTATTACTATGGCAGGCAGTACGAGCGGAAACCGAGGGTAACATGGATATGACGCCATTGACTGGCGACTCCTCACCCCTGCTCACACGTCCCGTTTGCGATTTTTTTTTTTTGCAGGGTGGTAGGGGAAGACTCGTTAATATTCATTGGGGAACTCGTCCCTGATTGGCTCGCCGTGACGCATCTCTAATGAGATGTGATAGAGAAAACAGACATCGTCTCCTTCGTGACAACAGACACTTTCACGAAGGTAAGTCATACCTGTCAACATTTGGTTATCCAAATCCGGGAGATTTGTGCGGAGACCGCTCACGAACTTCGCGAACTTCTGTATCTTTGCGGGGACACCGTCTTGACCTGCCATGTCAATCTGAGTGACGTGTGACAGCGAACCAATTGCGGATGAGTTCCCCAATGAATATTAACGAGTCTTCCCCTACCACCCTGCAAAAAATAAATTCGCGTCCCGTTTCCTTGGTTAAAATCGCAATTTTCTCACAGTTGGAAACATTGGGGATATTGTAAGTAATCAACTAAACAAAATATATAACTTTGGCCTAGTGGTTTTTGGATATTTTACTGCAAAAATCCTACAAATTGTACCTTTAAGTAGGTACTAATTTTAAAAAGTACGTTGTATATAGGCTAGTATGAGTATGAGTGTGTGTAGTATGAATGTAATTTGGACGGACTATTCACCATGCTGTCACATATCACGTGACCTAACAGCATCAGTTGCGTCGATTCACTTGCATTCGCAAATCCTCTCCATCCTCTCCCGTGGCCTCATGATGTAGTAAAGTGTCAATCGTATCTCACTTCAGATACACTCACTTCAGTATCTCACCGGAAGAAGTAGGTCATCTGGGTACTTTTTGTTTACTCTTTTATGAGTGTAATACATACTTCTTTTGTCACGTACTGTTTTTTGCCTATAGGGAAGTATGCAATGTCAATGACTCACTTTTTAAGACAGTGACTTGTTGCCACCTACTGGCAGTTTTAGTTTCATATTGAAAGTATAACTCAATTTTTTCCGTAAAAAATTTCATATTTCTAAATTCAATACACTTTTATGTAAAACGTTTAATCTTATTACATTATTTATGCATTTATAAACAGTCTGTGTAAATTACATCTAAATGCCACTTCAGATGCAGCCTCTGTGCCACTTCTGCAGTGCAATTATGGATTTTGTCTGATTTCATTTGATTTGTAAAAGCCTTATATTATCTTATTATTCTAATTGCATTTATTTATTTATTAATTATTCATTTATTAATTTTAATGAACACAAAACATAATTTCCATTTAAAATTGTAAATATCATTTATATTTTTTCATTGTTATATTTTTAAGTTAGTAAGTGGTGTAAATAAGCCGCAGTGTTATGTTTGGTGTTTTGCAGACTCTGGGTACCGTGGGCCGCTCTTTGTCAGAAAGTCCAGGGCTACTTTTTAGTCCCAGCCAGCCACCCCTGCTGAAAACCAAGACAAAGATATTGGTTAAAAAGAGGATTTATCTTTTTGCAGTTCACTGAAAAAGGTTCTGAGCACAATCTCACACTCATATTCACAGTATCAGTGCACTGGCGAATAAGCCCGGGCCTGGGGGGCAGAGTTAAATCAACGTTAGTCCAGCGCTGGCAAACAACGCACAGCTATTGCCTCATAATTCTAAGGCCAAACGTTCATCTTTCTTCTTCATCTCACCCATCTCTCTTATTCATTTCCTTCCTGGGTTTTTCTATCGCATTTTCTCTTTCCTGCAGCTCTCACCTGTGGTCTGTCGTTCTCGCTGTCGGTCGGGTGCTGAGCCGCTTAGGTTCTGCTGTGGTTATAGAGGTGCTGAGGGTGACACTTGCCGGCCCAGACCGTGCCCTACTTACAGAGACTGAGAGAGAGAGAGAGAGAGAGAGAGAGAGCGAGAGAGAGAGAAGGGAAAGAAGGAGGGTGGGTAGGCTAAAGTGTCAGCAGTGCGAGGTGCTCAGTGCTTAGATAAACTCCTGTGGGATTAATGGCCTAGTTAAAGTTGGAGCTAAAGAGGATTAGCCTCCTCGGAGAGGTGGCAATAGATCCAACATGTCCTTCAGCGGTGGAGGCAGAGGAGGAGGAGAAGGATGAAGGGGGAGAGGGGGGAATTCACAGGTTAATACTGAGCATGCAAAAAAAAAAAATCTATTGGTCAAAATGTCGCCTGTCACCAAGGTGGTGGAAAATGATGGCAAAGACAAAGGGAGTGTAGCAGGTGTTCTTGCAAATCGTGACTCCAGCAGTGATTTGATTTGCAGCGGACTGTGCACTGGAGCATCTTCAGCAGTCGTGGCTGTTCATGTATGAGTGGATATTTGTGCATGAATGTTATAAATTCTGTAGTATAATATTGGCCTGGTCTGAAGATGTGAACAAAAAAGTAACACTTTTGGCACCATCATGTAGCATTATATCATGTAAATACATATTACAAACTTTGCTTAATTTTCTTAGCCCAAACATGACCGATAATATAATAGTCATAACACTTTTTTATGTTATCTGTGTGCACAGGTGAGAAATGTGTTTCATTTAATGTGTTAGGACAGCAGCAGTAAACATATGGCACTCTATGGCCATCTAGTGGTCAACAGAAAAACACTACCAAACATCTAGAGCTAGTCTTGAGTTAAAGACTTTTGCATACTTTGACCATAGAACAAAAAAAACATTTTTTTAATACAATACAACAGTAGGATTTTAAATGTTTTTCTTTTTCTTTTTCTAAATGTGTGTTTTCCACATGAATGGTCTCATTCTTCCGAGGTAATGAGGGTGAGTGCCTATTAAACAGGATGATTTTTTCAACCAATCATGATTAAAAATGCATTCATGTTCTGAAATTGGTGAACGAATCGTTTTATTTTTTTTAATTCCTTCAGTGAAATCGGTTCAAACGGTTCTTGGAATCAACAAATCACTACTGATTCACTGAACCGAAAACCGTTTCATTTGGACTTGTTAATGGTGAACAAAGTGTAAAAGCTGAAAGTCAGAAACGTGTATGACTTGATTAGCCTATAGGCCTATGTGAAGTTTTATGAACACATATACGAAACTGTTAAAATTGCTATTTATTCGAGAAGACTTGTAAATAAATGTTAGTAGGCTAGTCTACAGTAAATGCAAATTATATTTAGATTTTAAATCACTTTTTATGAGCTGAAGCTGAATTGGGACACATTCAATTTCAAACACATTAAGAAAAGACCAATACATTTCATGAGTTTTATTGAAAACGTTTTAGAGCTATTACGACATGATGCAAAAGAACTGCTGAAGCAAACTTCATTACAAACATAGGCTGTATCGAAATAACCGATTCAGCGAATTGAATCAGACTTCTCATCACTAAAGCAGAACTAGAGCACATTCTTTTTCTAATGTCAAGCCAAGTCTGATTGCTACAGATTCTTCAGATTAAGACAAGATGGGTGTGCTTATAGAGGGGACTGAAGTAATGAATTTCAGTTCTTTCCATTACATAGTTGAGGTCAATAGATTAATTTGTCTTAAACAGAGAAACAAATTAAGGAAACAAATTAAATGATTTGAATATACAATAAGTAGCCTAGAAATTAAAATAATCATCTGAAAGAGCAGTCTTGTCTTATTTGCAGAGATCAAAATCTCTTTATTGCTGATGAACAAAAATCTCTGACAGTTGGAATTATTAGCAAATCCAATTTAGGACATAAAATAATGTGTTTATGAACAGCAGCATCAAACATCTAACATACTGGCAAGATAATACTGGCTATCAAGAATATATTACCATCTATTTCTGTACATTCTTCTGATACCTAATCTATACTTAGTGTCTATTGTATAAATAAAGGATATTTAAAATGACCAGAGTGTGGAAATCAGGCCTTTAAACAAAAACAACACACAGAATCCTATTCCAGTTCATGGACTTCAAAAATAATGCAAAAAGACCTAAAAGCATTGAAATTGTCAGTTTCTTAAAAAAAAAGATATATTATTTATCAATCATGTGCAATACACTACAGCATATAGACAATGCCTTTTGTTCTCTGTAAAAAAACAGTATATACAATATATTAAAAATACGTGCCAACAGAAAAATGAAGTTCCCATAAAAAATGTGCCATTTTGTCTCTTTGCATGGGTTTATCAGTGAAATAAGAAACTGAACCGGTCATTACCAGTATCACACCAATGAAATCACACTATTGCCAGCATACTGAGGTGAAAATAGCATACTGCTGCTGTCTGGCATTGTGCACACTCCTGGTGTGGATGCCACATCTGTTTTCTGCATGACCTTTATTACAAAACAAAGCCAAAGGCTAAAACAGAGCAGCATTTTTTGTCTTTCCATTATGGTTGGGCAATATAACAAAAGAATAAAAATACGATTTTTCATTAAAAAGACCATACTTTATCACAAGGCACATTTAACACTGCTGTAATCTTATTGATTAAAATATAACCTTTTCCATGTAATCAAAAAAAAAAAAAATGTCAGCAAAAATCAACAGAGACATCCAAGACCCTGTGGAGTGTTGTCGGTTTTTTTCTGGATCAATATATAAACTTTTTGTTTATAAAATAAAAATGATCAAATCTGTTTAGAGAATCTATTGCACACACCATGAAAAACACTATAATGTTAATAACTATATTTTCTAACATATCTCTCTAGCAACAATATGGATTGACCTACAAATCAAAAGTGTTCCTGAGTGTCTCATGGGTCCACATGTACATGTAAAATACCATCATCATCCAAAAAAAAAGAAAGGATATTTTCATACCTCATAATATATAGAGCTGTTCTCCCAATAGTGATTAAATACTATAGAACTATTGTCAGCTTTAATAAAATACATAATTGTCTGGCCGGTAAAAAAAAGTTTCAATGGATTGTCACCCTTTGAAGTCCTTAGCGTTCAGCTTTAGCTTTCAGACTTATGTCTGTGTCTGCCTGTGAGAGGCTCCATCTCTACGGTGTGATCTCTGGACCCCCTGTTCAGGTCAACCACTCTTGGGACGACCGTGGACCAGCGATCTGTTGGTGCAGTGGAGAGAAATTGCGTTTGTTAGTTGATTCTTGAAACAATTTTCTCTGTATTGTTTTTTTTTTTTTTTTAACAAATTGGGAAAAAATTGTGCCCAGAAGTCATCGTGGACCAGCGGTTTGTTGGTGCAGTGGAGAGAAATTGTGTTTATTTTTTTTTTATTTTTTTTTTTTTTTACTAATTTGGGAACAAATTGTGCCCAGAAGCCATAAAATAAAATTCTAAGTTTTGCTAAGGGTTTATGTGTGTGTTATTGTGGGTGTGAAAAATCCTGCCCGCTCATTTACCGACCTCTTCGAAGGCCCCGTCCACCCTGCGTTTGTTCGTAATAGTCTTTCTGGCCCGGATCCTCATTTATGATCCCCAGATTTTGATTCCAATGGGACCACTTAACCTCGTCCACCCTATAGCATGGAAAATGAAGGCCCGTAACTCTGGTAAATGACTTGAAGGGTTAGTCTGTAATTTAATGAATGAGTAGTGGATATCTTGTAGTTGTACCTGAAGCACCAGCGTTTGTCTGGCGTTCCATCCAAGCCCTTGCCGACAGTAACCATCTCTCCAACTCGGAAATACCTCCGCAGACACACTGGGAAGGACCGCTCAATATCTAGGATAGTAGTGGCCCACTGATGCAAACAGAAGGAAAATTACATGTTGGAGATTAAATGCAAGTATAACCACTGAATGCTGAGGTAAAAGTCCTTAGGCTGAATTTAAGTGACTTCCTGTCAGATGGGCATCAAAATAAACCAAGCCAACAACAACTTGAAGGAATAGTTCACCCAAAAACTATCATTATTTACACTATCTCCTATGTCATTCCAACCCAGTATTTTTTTTTCTTCCAAGAGAAAAACAAAAGGACATTTGTAATTAAAGATGACTCGTATTGACAAAAAGGATACAAAAGTCGTTTGGAGCTTTTATGATACTTTTATGTAGCCTGACTTCGTCATACTCATATTCAAGTCAGAATGTGAGTCTGATACTGCTCCATAGGGCTTTGATTATGAGGCGTGTCTTAACCGAACCAGAAAAAAAAACTGGATTGGATAGACCTACAACCAATCAGAGCAACGCAGTAAGTGTTTTTTTATGAGCTACGCAAATTGTCAACAGAACTCAACTACACGCACGCTGGAAGAAGTAGTAAATTAATGTCGAGTGTTGCTTCTTTTACTTGGTCCTCCATGAGTGCGACCAAAGGAGAAACCACAACGACCACAGGGTTATCATTGCGTCCCATCTTCTTAGCGACCATCGGAGCCAGCTGATTAAATAAACTTTTGCCGAATCCCGTAGGAAGGACGGCAAACACATCTTTCCGATCGACAGATGCCTTGATTGCAGTTCTCTGTTCGTCTTTTAAAATGAATGCGCTGTCGATTTCTTTTACATCTCAGTTCTGTCAGGTCCATTAAGTCAAGAACACACAGACAAAAATATAATTTAAGAATTTTATTGAATAGATTGCAAACAAGTTGATGTTCCTGAATTAAAATTTGGCGGTATGGCTCTGTTCAGGGAGTCCTCTGACCTTTCATGAGCACCATGAAATAGCAGAGAGTCAGAGGACAGCAGCAGCAGCATTAGGGAACGCTCACACGGTTTAAGACTGTGAGAGCTAAAATATCCCCCGTGAACAGAGCAGGCAACATGACATAGCAAATGCCACGTTATGCATAAGGAGGAGCTGGGGAGGTGGCGGGCAGCAGAAGCGAGCAGCGAGCCAGCAGAGCGAGCAGCAACCAGCAGAGCGAGCAGCAAACCAGCAGAGCGAGCAGCAAACCAGCAAAGCGAGCAGCAAGCATGTATGAGCAAGGTGAATGAGCTTTAAATAGGCACCTTGTTTGAGCTTTGGCCATTGAGCAACGAGGGGAGTTAATCAGCTAATGCAGCTCAGCTGGAGCTGATCAGCTGACGGGACAGTGTTGATAGCAAAGCATTAGCAGCGTCTTGACTACCTGGCCTGCCAGAACTGACGCTGACGCTCAATTTCTCCAGCTGCAGTCAACTTTGAGGGAAACCAGTTCAACCCAAGCGCTCTTTGATAACGTGATGATTACGTAACTGCAGATCATCTGTCCATCATCGTATAAAGCCTGCCCTGGCAATTTGATTGGGCCGACTAATTCTGAACCGATCATAATTACTCCTCAATGGATCGAGTCCAGACCGAACTTCACGACCAAAAAATGTTGTGGGCGGGGTTCGGGCTGGCATCCAGGCTAACTTTTATGTGCTTTGTCATTTAAAATCGTAGACATTTTGTCTTACATTTCTTGTGTTCCAAAGAAGCATTAAAATAATATGAGATTGGAATGATGTGAAGGTGAGTAATTGATTTCCATTTTGGGTCAAATGACCACAATACAACAGCCTGCCGCATTCAACCTTTTGTATACCTCTCACCTGCAGTTTCCAGATCTTCTTGCTCTCTTTGGACACCTGTCCCACTGTCTCCCCCATCAAAGCGATTAACATGTTGAGTAACAGGACGAAGGTGAGAATAATGTAGGTGACCAGGAGAATGAGGAAGACAACGGGATACTGTGCGCCTTTCAACATGTTGTCTAGCTCTCCAATGCCTATGGTCAGCTTAAACAGGTCCAATAGGAATTCGCTGAAGGTGTTTTTATCTCGGCATTCTGGGTATTTGAGGCAGTTATCCTTGCATGTCTCCTCATCAGGGCAGATGGTCAGAAGTGAGACTAATGCTGGTGCGGAATACAAAAAGAAATTGTCAGTCACTAATTACAGCGAATATACCATAAAATACCAATAATTGAAGTGTTATTACAAGCATACCTGATGCATAGCCGATCATGAAAAGCACATAGACCAGCAGGAACCGGAACAAATCTTTGATGAGAATCTGAACAAAATATCCAAATTGAAGACATAATGAGTAAGCGTAATTACACTAACAAAATGAGAGGACAGTAGACCGGCAAGCAGGCTAATTATTCCAAGGCTTGTATGTGGTTCCCACCTGTGATGTAGTCATTACTGGAAACAACAGCTTATATGCTTAACTATGGAGACTTGGTGCTTAACTTAACAAGCAGGCCAATGTTGTCTAATTCAAGAGGACAGGATTTACAAATAACATCTTAGCCTAAAGAAAAATGGTTGTTGGGGGATAATATAACATTAACTATATACAGACATGCATATGTTTCATCAGTATAGCAGTATAGCTATTAGTAACTTTCACTATATTTACATATGGTGTCATTTTGACATTTTCATTGGACAAACCTTACATAATGAAACATATAGAATTCACATATAGAATTTATATTAAAAAAAAATATTTAATTTATTTTTAAGAATTAAAATACATATACATGTTTTTTTTTTTTACAAAAATCTCTCTCATCTCTCTCTAAGAATTAAAATACATATACATATGTTTTTTTAATTTATTTTAAAAAAATCTCTCTCATATATATATATATATATATATAATTACTTTAAGATTTTTTTTTTAGAAAACATGCATTAAATTGATCAAAAGTGATAGTAAAGACATTTATAATCATACAAAAATTCCATTTCAAATAAATGCTGTTCTTTTAATCTTTCTGCTCATTAAAGAATACTGTATAATGGTTTCCTCTAAAATATTAAGCAGCACAACTGTTTTCAACATTGATAATAATAAGAAATGTTTCTTGAGCTCCAAATCAGAATATTAGAATGATTTCTGAAGGATCATGTGACTGAAGACTGGACAGCTTTGTCATCACAGGAAAAATCACATTTTAAGGTATATTAAAATAGAAAACAGTTATTTTAAACTGTACTAATATTTCACAATGTTACTGTTTTTACTGTATGTTTGATTAAATAAATGCGGCCTTGTTGAGTACAAGAGATTTCTTTCAAAAACATTTTTTTTACTAACTTTTGACCAGTAGTATATTAAATATAAATACAAAAATACAAGTTTTGGGGCTAAATAAACTAATTTGTTTCAAGACTTGACAATTCACAAAGATATTTGAAGAGAAACTGATTTCACAATTTACAATCATTGAATTAAATGTATACGGCGCTTAATTCATACCTTCTGAATCATGATACTGTAAGTTCCAGTGAGTTTAAGACCTCTGGTAAAATAGAGGGTGTTCATCCAACCTAGTACTAGAGCAAACACCATCACAGACACGTAGGCTTCAATCCCTGACAGGTACAGCGCTGCGCTCACCAGCACCAACACGGAGTAGATGAAGCTGACACAAGGAAACACAAAGGATTGGTCAGCAAGGAATGTACAGTACTTGCCATCAACTAATAAATGTACCATTTGCTTTGAGTTTACTGGCGACAAATTAGCAGCTCAAAACTGATAACTAAACATGTTGTGGCCTCTGGCTACTTCCGTATTTTGTCCCTTTGAAGGTTACAGAATGTCTTTGAATCCTTATTTGCCTCTGTTGCTGAGTTTCATTATGTAAGGTTTGCTTTTCAAATGTAAAATGCCTCACTGGTTTAGCAATGCCACATATTAATTATAATTAACATAAACATATCGTTGAACTGCAGTCATCTTTGCTGAGATTGTGCTGTTTTTATGCAAGGAGATTAACTATTAAAACATGCCAAGAAAGGGGTTTTGGAATTAATTAGACAGCTCAATTAAAAAGAGGGAGAAAATCGCCTTAGGGAAAGACATTGAGAGTAAAGGAAGACACAAAGAATGGCACTGAGTGTCTTACTAGAGAAGTTGAAAGGATCCATCAATAAATAAAGAATTCACCCCCGGGCACTTCTTCAGGAAAAGGTCCTTAATCTAAATCAGGAGAGAAAACCAAGAAATGCTGCTCAAGATATTTAGTGCTAGCTACAGAGGAAAGATAGGGCAACCAAAAGAAAACAGAAAGAACGTTAAGAGTGAATTTGGGTAGCACAACATACTGTAAGAAACATACACACCGGTGTTCTTTCAGCAAGCTGAGATGGATCTTAAAAACGAAAAAACTGTATTACAAATAGTAGGTTATTGTGTATGTAAAGCTTACATTTGTTACGAAGAAAAAGACTCCAGATGCCACTGTTATGATCTCCCCTGCCAAACGCACCTTGTCTGCAGTGGTGTCGTAGGCGTAAGGGGGCTGTGGAGGAAGAAGATTTAGAAATCAACTACAGACCTGTTCATTCCCAGAATGCATCTCCACCACATGGACTCTCTTTCACACAGGAGGACCCATGTGGTAAAAAAGCAATTCCTCTCTATTCAAATAAAAACATGAACATCCACACGTACACTATCATTCAAAAATAAATTCTCATTTTGATCAAAAAATGGTAACACTTTATTTTACAGTGTCCTTGTTACATGTTACATGCAGTTACTATAGTAAATACTATAAATTGTGCATAATTTCATGCAACTAACCTTAACCACACCCCAATTCTTACCCTATATTTTAAGGTATTTATTATTACTCAGTACTTCAATATATAATTACACTGTAACACGGACACCTTAAAATAAAGTGAAACCAAAAAAAGTGTTACATAAGCCTAACCCTTCAGAAATTATTTTAATATGCTGATTTGGTACTCAAACACATTTATTATTATTATTATTAATGTTGAAAACAGTTGTGCTGCTTAATATTTTTTGTGGAAACCATGTTTTTTTCCCCAGGATTCTTTGATCGATAGAAAGTACAAAATTAACAGCATTTATTTGAAATAGAATTATTTTGTAACGTTATATAAATGTCTTTACTGTCGCTTTTGATCAATTTAATGCATCCCTGCTGAATAAAAGTATTAATTTATTTTAAAAATACATATCGAACTAACACCAAACTTTTGAACAGTGGTGTACATCTGTACCAGAGATAATATATGGAGAAGATGGACTACTCATATAAAAAATGAATGGAAGAAAGATCAATATAGCCTCTGGACAAACTGTGTTTTTAGCTTGATTTGAGCTAACGAAGCTGAATTTATAATCCCATTGTTTTTGTGATTTGACTGGCGAATCAATCTTAATCTTGGCCAACAGCTTCTCCCCATTCAAGCAAACGGAAGAACTACTAATATGACTGGAGATTAGGGGGCAAAGGCCATGATGGCCGCTGACTGAGTGAACGGACTTGACTTAAAGGGACTCACTTTTCCCACTGATGGGCGATAATAGGCCACAAGAGTGAAGATGATCATGGTGACAAGGTAGGAAACCACACTGATGTAGAAGGTCACAGCAGCAAACTTCTGCCACTTGGCCCTCAGCAGCTCATTTATCGGTTCCACCGCCAACATCTCATGGCGATTCTGAGGGTACAACCAATAAACCATGTCAGAAAGCTAAACACAGAAATAGCCACCAACATCATGAGGAGGACAGTTTCTTGATGATTGTTATTTGTCTGTATTTTTATACAATTTCCATAAATCATACAACTTCTATACATTTATTATGACTTGCACAAGTTTATGTTTCATCATCCAACTTCCGCTGTTTACCTGCAAGGCCTCTAAATCTCACACGTGATAACTTCACAAAATATGGAGCACCATACAAGTGCACACAGTCTATCTTCCACACTTTCTTTTGTCTATCCACATATTCACCTCAATCTTGCTGTTATAGACAAGTATCTCCAGAACAGAGACTTCCTCTCCGCAGGTATCCAGGGAAGACAGATCATACAGGTTGGAGTACACGGGTCCATAAGCCCAGTCCTTAAATTTCCGGGAGAAATGCCGAGCCTCCTCATCTTTTATCTCTCTCCGGATGATGTGCTGGAACACCTGTGGAGAAAAAAACTTTGGGTTTGCTTTGCCAATGCTTTCCCAATGCAAGTCCCTAAAGCTGAATTGCTGGTATAAAGCAGTCTCCTACCCCAATTTTGCCCAGCTTGGCGGCCATCATGAGAGGCGACATGCCATCATTGTTGAGCACATTCTCCAGGTTGCAGTCTGGGAAGAGTTTGGCACATTTAATGAGCAAAAGGTCGTACATCTTTGTGACAAACCGTGTGTTGTCCCGAGTGTTGTCAGCAATATGGACCAGGGCGTGCAGAACTGTGTTTCCCCTCGAGTCCTGTCTCCGCATATCTGCCTTCTTGTGGCTATTCTCGGTCAGGTAACGCACCATGTCTGGTTGGTTGGTACAAGCTGCGAGTGAGAGAGGCAGCTCACCTGTACAATGAGAAAGAGACAACATAAACACTTTCAGTTGTCAATTTTTCTATATCCTAACACATTTTTACATAATACTACCTTTCAAAAATTGGGGTCAGTAAGATTATAATACTGTCTTTCAGCAAGGACACATTCAATTTATCAACAGTGACAGTAAAGACATTTATAATGTTACAAAAGATTTCTATTTTAAATAAATGCTGTTTTATAATTAATTTTCTTCAACATGGACACATTCAATTGATTAAAGGACCGTATTTGAAATAAATTCTGTTCCTTTGAACTTTCTATTCATCAAAGAATCCTGAAAAAAAGGCTTCATGATTTCCAGATTAATATTAAGCAGCACAACTGCTTTCAACATTGATGATAATAATAATAAGAAATGATTCTTGAGCACCAAATCAGCATATTAGAGTGATTTCTGAAGGATCATGTGACACTGAACATTAATTAATTCAGCTTTGCCATCACAGAATAAATTAAATTTGAAAATATATTCAAATAGAAAACAGTTATCTTTAATTGTAATATATTTTACAATATTACTTTATCACATAAATGCAGCCTTGGTGAGCATTACAGACTTTAAAACATTAAAAATGTTTTTTAAAAACATCAACGTTTTGAATGCTACTGTATTTAGTAGACACTTTTATCAAATGCATCATTTTAGTATTTTCAATGAAAAACTAAAAAGATCAGTTTAGACTAGAATTATGGGTTATGCTGGTCGTTGACCATTATGATCTGATAAATCTAGTTGCAAAAGGAAGTCTTGCTGGTTAAGCTAGTTAAAAGCCTGATGGGGACCAGAATACCAGCATCCCCAACACGAAAAATACTGTCGACCAAAGTCCTATGGAGCCAGGGATATTAGACTACAACTTCCAGATGTTCCATTTATCATTTTCCTTTATTAAACACCACGATGAAGAAATACAATTAGCCCCTAAAGTCAATCAGCCCTTTGCAGGGCTCACATAACAAATGAGCTTTGATCTAAATGTCACCGTTGGTATCCAGTGCTCAATTAGTGCTCGTCTCATGAGAACCCATCTCAAATAGGAAAACCAAACAGTGAGAGTGAGCTGTTGCCAGGGGTGACAGATTATTTTCATGTCACTTCTTATAGAAACGCTTCCCTCTCATTGATTTGCACGCGCTCAGAGAGCGGTTAGTGTGACTGCTAAATCACATTAGCTGTCAGTGCTCTCAGGTTGGCGCTCACGTCACCGGGAAGCTCCGCGGCGAATGACTCCCTTCGTGCTCAGATCAGGGGGGATTAAACACTGACAGCCGTGTCTAATACAAATGAAAATAATTTACAGGTGAATAAAAGAGAGATGGAGACTCCTGGCAGGGCACCAGAAAGGATAATCCTATTCTGTCATCCTTGGATTATTTTAAAATAGTTTTGCACCTTTCAATCAGTTCCAAAGCAGACGTGTTGTTTTGTGATTTGAAAATTGTGAGATGTAAATGAGGTTCATGAAAAGGGAATTCAAATTCTCAGCTTGATTTTATTACAAAAACACAGTGTTGTAACCACTGACGTCCTGGGAGGATCAACTAGAATAGTTTAGATTAGAATATTTATCATGACAAAAGAAATGGCGGGTTTACAAAGAAAAGCACAATAAGATCAGGAACATGAATTAAAGTAAATAGGGTCAATTTTGACAGACATGTAGTAACACACTCTGGTCAACAGGAGGCAGAATGTGTTCAGGCTATTTTTTTTATATATACTTCAGAACATCATCAGGCCTCCTAAATATAAGACCTTTTACTGTATTTTCCATTGCAAACACAGAGGCTCCTTTCACTCTCCTACATCCTTAGTACATCCAGCACTTGTTTTATTTGTGACATAATGTCTTGTTGGTTTTCTTCTAAGCTCCAGAAACCGTCTTACTCCCAGCTAGTTAAACATTTCATGAATGTATAAACTGTGTAATACTCCTCACATTTGCCAAACATTGCACAAAAGGGAGGATTTTAGGAAAAAGGAAAGAAAAATCACCTGATGTTACTATAGGAACCATTGGGTTTCTAAATGTATTGTTTATTGATCGCGCAAAGTCACGAAGGCTAGGCTTCTGATGCTAACTGTCTCATAGAGAAGAATTACAGGTCAAGACCACTAGGAAATCGCTTTAATCTCCCTACAATTTCTTTCAAAATGTGTACATACTGTAACTTTTACTCAAGAAAGCTCAAAAATATAGTAAAAACAGTAATATTGTGAAATATTATTACAACAATTACTATTTTAATATAAATCTAAAATTTTAGTGAGCATAAGTTCTTTTGAACAGTAGTGTAACTAGTGAGCAAGTGACTGATAAACAGCAAATGGAGCTTCCCACACATAACGTTGGGAGTAAAGGCTCCAGCATGTTGTAATGAGGTTAGTAGTTTATTTCCACCAAATGTTTCAGAACAGAGCATTTAAAGCAAGTAATATACACAGTATGAAAGAGCAGAGTGGTCTGTAAATGATCTTGATATATCCTGCACAATACTCTGAAAATACACTCAGATTGCAAATATATTTAACAATGTTAAACTATATTCCTTATCACTCACTTTTATAAGGTTAGTTCACCCAAAAATGAAAATTCTGTGATTAATTACTCACCCTCATGTCGTTCCAAACCCATAAGACTTTCATTCATTTTTCAGAACACAAATGAAGATCTTTTTGATGAAATCTGAGAGCTTCCTGTCCCTCCGTTGACATCTACGCAACTACACTGTGATGCTTTAAGAAGTTCATAAAGAGATCATAAAACTAATCCATATGAATTGAGCGGTTTAGTCCAAATTTTCTGAAGAGACAATCGCTTTATATGATGAACAGATTGACTTTAGGCTTTACATTCACATATAAATAATTCATCAACTCACACATCAGTTGTGGTAAACGGAAGCTCAAGCATGTTTGCTTGACATGCGAGAACCAATGAGGTTCATTCTCGTGTTACGCAGCACGTTTGAGCTTCCGCAAGAACCAATAAGGTTCATGCTCATGTTACGCAGCACTAGGGTTGGGCCGATGCGATGGACGATGATGGCTGACAGACATCACGATGTTTAGCCGACATCGCCTTATGTGTCTCTTCAGAAAATTTGGACTAAACCGCTCGATTCATATGATCTCTTCATTAACTTTTTGAAGCATCAGTGTAGTTGCGTAGCCGTAGATGTCAACGGAGGGACAAAAAGCTCTCAGATTTCATCAAAAAGATCTTCATTTGTGTTCTGAAGATGAACAAAAGGCTTACAGGTTTGGAACGACATGAGGGTGAGTAATTAATGACGGGATTTTCATCTTTTTGGGTGAACTAACCCTTAAAGACGGTTTAAAGCTACAGAACAAAACCAGAATCAACAAACTCACCAAAGTAGAAGTATCCACCCTCCTCTCTGGGCTGGAAGAATCGGCCCCTGGCCTGGGCATGAACATCAGCCCCCTTCTCCACCAGAAGCTCCACATACTGTTTGCACCGTCGCTCTATGGCGATATGCAGTGCCATCTGACCTACAGACACACCACATTATTATTGTAAATAATGTTGCCAGTCAAGAATCAGAACTTTGACCATAAAGTCAAAACCAAAGCACTCGTGTGACATTACAGGAAAAATGATATCTGTGATACATCTTATCAGACAGAGCAGCGGGAAGCAGCATGATATTATTAGATACTGTCAACTTCTTTTACACAAGAGGAAGTACTGCAATATGTGCAGAGCCTGTAGTTTTGTATTGAGTGTTTGTGTGAGAGCTCTAAATGACATAAAAAAATTATTATATTTCCAATGGAGACTAGAGTTAACTATATTTATTTTTATGGTCCTCAGATTTAATCAACTAATAAAGGATTCCTGACTTAAAGTCTAAGTTTAAGGAAGTATTTTATCATACACTTGGCTAAACTAAGAAAGGAATAACCTTAAATAACTTGATTTTCATAGTTCAGTGCATCTCTATGGGTTTTGGCAGTGGGTCTACAAAAGAAAATCTGTTGACATACAGAATTAGCCTATTTGACACTGCCTCGAGGACTGGAATTAACACTGGCAAACAAACTGAACCAATGTGTGAGTGATTGTTTCCTGAGGAAATGAGAGGTAGACTACACAATGTCTGCTTTAAGTACATTATTGTGTATTTTGAGAAGTGCAACTTCCCGGTATTAATAATGCCGCCATCACAAACATGCCATTACAGCATTTGAAGGATTAAAATTAAATAAAAATGAAAAATAAATAATTTTAATATGCATTTATAATACACTAGCATTCAAAAGGTTGGAAATGTTTTATGTTTTAAAAGAAGTCTCTTCTGCTCACCAAGACTGCATTTATTTGATCAAAATACACTAAAACCAGTAATATTGTAAAATAGTATTACAATTTAAAATGACTGTTGTCTATTTGATATTATTTTCAAATGTAATTTATTCCTGTGATGACAAAGCTGAATTTGTAGCATCATTACTAATTTAATTATGTATTAATTACTATTACTTAAGTACAAATTATTAAGTACAAATGACTATTAATATGCTAATTTGCTGCTCAAGAAAAATGTATTATTATCAATGTTGAAAACAGTTGTGCTGCTTAATTTTTTGAATTTTTTAAGGATTCTTTGATGAACAAAGTTTAAAAGAACAGCACTTACTTGAAATAGAAATATATTTGTAACAATGTAAAAGTCATTAAATCCATTTTAATCACTTGTAATCAATTTAATGTGTCCTTGCTGAATAAAAGAATTAATTTCTATAAATGTATAACATATAAATATTTGTAATATCATGGCCTTTTGTCACAAAAAAATGACATGAACTGGACTGTCACCCGCATGAACACAAGTTCAATATATCTCAGCTGCTAGACCACAGTGCTGAAAATGTAAACATTAATCTTTTTTGTATCAGAGGGTGAGGAAAGTTTATGTACTGTATCGGGTGTGGCACTGGCAAATTCAAATGCCCTAAACCTAGACAGGTAACAGAGGAACAAGGTTAAATTCAGCAGTGTTTGTGAGGACTCTTTGTACTGAACAGGGTGGAGACTGCAGGAAACCCAACGTCAACTCGGGGGTAACTTCTCTAACATTGAGCTCAGTCAGAAGTGCATGTGAAACTCCACCGTTGTGCTCAGATTTCATTAACCTGTTCAGGGTGGTGCTGGAAGCTGCTCAGAGTAAATGTTAGCTCATGCCACACTAAAGATTTTGGAAACTTTTAAGACAAATGATGCTTGAAAACTGGTCCTAACGGTTGATTTATTTTGTATGAGTGTTGAATCTGGTCAATCTTTAGTGGTTGGAGGACTCACCCCTATAATACACATCTCTAAAGGGTGTGTTGATGAACTCTGGGAGGCTTCCTGTCTGTTCAGCTATGTCCAACAACACAGGGATTGTGTCATTGTGACCATTGTGCAGGTTCAGAAGTGCTTTTGGTAGACACGTCTTCCCTGTAGAAGGTTCTAAAGAAAGTAGAGAGAAGAACACTAGAGTTTTACATTTTATTTAGAAAATCTGAGTTTGCACCAAGTCTGTTTGATATTCTGGCTCCTAGATATGGCCTGTGTCCCACATTCAGGATATTTTTCTCTTTTTTATCATCCAGAAAGTGCTAATTTTAGGAAAGTACGTAGTAGGGGACAATTTACATGTCAGGGTTTAATAATTAACATTAGGGGTTTGTTCTAATTGCTAATCTAAGACATGAAAGCAATGTCAAAGTTTTCCTTTCTTTCATCAAGGCATCAAATTTTCCTCTAGTTTCCAAAACCTGATTTGCTTCACTCATCATGGGTCAGGTTAAATTTAGCCAGAGTTGTCTTTTTGATCCCCTCAAACAGAATCCTTCATTCCATTTGTGACAGTTTGCTGTGATTTCTCACTACTCTGTTGAGTTTGCTTGACACTTTGAGGCAGGAAGTAAACAGAGGACCCCACCTTGCAGGGTTCACATCAGCTTATATAATAGAATTTCCTTTACTACATTAAAAAGGTCCAAGAACAAAAGCCTAACAATTGAACCATGAGGGAAAAGGGTTGCGACAACATTCGATATTTAGAGACACAACCCTGTTGATTTCTCATGTATAATAAATCAGGGCTTTGTCTTTTTAATAAAAAAGTGAGATCATTATTAAAGCAAGTCCTAATAATAGATTATTACTCACATAAAACAGTTAAGAACAGTGTACAGTAGTCTAATAATTTTTCAGTTTGTATTATAGACAGCAAACCTAAACATACACCCATTGCTCTTCACTAATAAGCCCCTTTCACACAGAGATTTCGGGAAAATAAACTGATAATGTGACCCGGGATCGTGTGATCTTGGTTCATTCACACTGCCAGTGTGAATCAGGATGTGACATGTTTGCAGAATTTTTTTTGTCCTTCCTTTGTTCCTTGATGAACACAAACTTTCATCTTTGTTAATGTGCAACGTGAACGTTGATCTGCATTTAAAACCCCCGGTCAAATAGTCGCACAATAACTACGTCATTGCGACGACACGCATCATCTATGACACAACCCTGGCATTGGTTCTGTCTTTTGTTCACACAGGGCAAGTTCCGGCACTGATCCCAGCAATATTTCTAGGTCCCCATCCCGGGATCTATCCCGGGACGTGTTTGCGTTCACACAGAAGGCCCTCTAGCAATTCGCACACAAAGTTGCTTCATACCCTGAACGCCAAACTTTTGAAGGAATCAAGGAAGAACATCGTGGACTTAGGGTGACTACTTTGCAGAATAGACTTGCATTAGACCAACTGACTGCAGCGCATGCAGGGAGGAGTCTGTACAATAGTTGGAACCACCTGCTGGACCTACATACCGGGCAATGATGCAAAAGGACATTTGATTGATGAAGGAACTCAGAATATCACGAGAATAATGAAGAGATTAGAAAGTAGGGAAGTAGGTGAAGAAGGCTGGTCAGCTGGGAAGGGATGACCGGAATGTTTGTGAAGGAAGAACATTACGCGATCATGGTAATAATGATTGTTTTGTTTGCATTCATTTTGCTTTGCCTTTGACCATGCGTCATGTCAGCAGTCCAACAGGCTGTGAAGACCACCATATACGGAGTCTCTTCTGTATAATTGTTTTGGTCACACTTCATCTATATCAAGGTTGTGGTTCACTCACACCTTTTCTCATACGCACATACATAGTATATAAGCTGAAGGCTTTCAATAAAGATTTGTCTTGAGTGAACTACACTTCTGTATCTGCGTCATATTGGTCCCTGATCAGTGTCACTCTGTATGTCTTTGATTCGATAAGGAAGATCCATAATTATTTGTTTAACACAATTCTATGACAATTTTCTGTGAACAACGCTCTGTGTGAAAGGGGCCATAGACTAATCCATTCCCAGAATGCACCTTTGAACTCCTCATCTGTCAGCCTCTTTTCACTTGACTGAAGATACTGCAGGAGACCATCCAGAGCTCTTGGATCTGCTCGAGATACAGCTTCCAGCAACAGCCAGCGGTTGAAGACTTTAAAAACAGGGGGCTCTGGGGATCCCTCGTCACATGACATCTCAATCTCGGCCTTCCTGCAGGGGGAAATATGCACTTTTAAAATTATGACTCCAGTTAAAAGTAAAAGTCTCTTATTTGTATCCTAAACCGTCAATCTGACATTTATTGAATTGCAAGACATGGCTGGTCATGATGTAATATGGCTTCCTTAATGAGGGGGTGACTTGTTTTTTTAGGCAACTGACTAGTCTTCATCTGTGAAGCGAGTGTGTGATCATTTTACACATCTGTAAAAAGCATTATTACACGCTTTTTTATCAGAAACATTACTTGGTGCACTTTTAAACATGCAATGTATATTACACATATAAAATTGCACATGGGCATTCACAAAAACTTGCAGTACCACCCTACCTGGCTTGAACTTCACACTACTTCTTAAGTCACAGTGGACTAAGAAAAAACTTTCATAAATAAGACTCTGTACTCAGGAAAAACTGACTACCTAACCTAACTGACCTAAACATTACTCCATAAGCATTAATGGAAACACCAACAGACATTCAGTTGCCCCACTGTGGATGATCAAGAGTGTAAAATCATGAGTAGACTGTCCTCAGCATGGAGCATAATATCTACAAAAGTGACACTACACAATCTGTAAGGCATTCAGATCTGACCATAGTCTCACCTCAATTACAAAGCAAGAAGATGATTCCTCTATGACTTTTCTTAATTGAAGATTTAACTAAAAAAAATGCTATATTCTGATTTAATATCAAAACGTGGCACTGTAACTGTGGAACATTGCAAAGAGTTGTTATTTCATATTAAGCACAACTCAATCCTCAGTCTGCATTCTGTCACCCAGTAAACAATGTGTCCAGTCTGTTTATGGCAGTGGCATTCCTGCTCACTTGCACACGTACAAGGAACATGTACAACGAATAAACACTTTACTTCACAATTTAGTTATTTATATAAATGTAAAATGGTATTGTATTATTATATTATATTATATTATATTATATTATATTATATTATATTATATTATATTATATTATATTATATTATAGTTATTTGGTTTTAATTTGTTTTTTAAACTCACCATGCATTTATTGTAAGGCAAACAGCAACTTTTAATGAGTAGAATGCAAATGATCTGCAAAAGGGGCAACTTAATCGGACTAAGTTTACACATGTGAATGAGTGATTTTAAATTTAAAAAGATAAAAATCTGAATGGGCAAGAGATTGTATATTATCCAAGAAGCATTTTCGCTGTGGTTTAGCGGTTAGTGCTTGTGCTTGGATAATAAGAGATTGATTCCAATCTCTTTTCCCCTATCTTCCAATAATTTCCGGTACCCTTTGCATTATTGTATCAATAAAAGTAGCCAAAATAAAACAAAAATAGGTAAAAGATACTGCCTCTCACCCCCGTGGAAGCTTCTTCCTGCGTTTTTTGTGGTTGTTGATCTCCCTACATGTGCCGTAGTCAAACAGGGAATCCATTGGTGCTTTCTTAGGCCCCGGTGCCCCTGGATATTCAGACATGGTGGACTCAAGAAGGTCCATGGGGTTAGGAACCCCCTTTTTAAAGGCCCCTGGAAACCTAATCCGCGTGTTCTGCTTGTTGTCAGTCTGTTGTCCAGGTCGAGTTGAATCCTGGGGCGAGTCTTGGGTTGGCTGTGATCCATCATCATTGTCCAGAAGTTCTGCCAGTGAAGACATAGGGAAGTTGGGATCCCCGTCCTCCAAAGGGTCCTTACCCTCTGACGAGTCCTGAGCAGCAGGTGAGGAGACAGAGTTTGACTCTGTCATGGCCAGACGATAGCGCTTAAGTAGAGTGGAAGCAGAGAAACCCTGCTGTAAAGTCAAAAACGGAGTGAGTGGACTTTAAACACAAGACAAAGCAATTACTCTGGAACGTGTGCTAGTGCATGTTCTCTACATCAGAACCTCTGTAAGTTGATCGTTTAAACGGAAAATAATTCAAATAGCTGTTAGGCAACTATCTCAACTAGAATGTCATAATTTAATAATTGCTTACTTAATGGAACTGGTCTAGTGCTTTGGAAACAATCTAAAATTTTACTATTACTTATAGTGGTCAAAGTTCATTTCACCAACTGCAGGTCAATTAGTATAGCCTACTTGAAACTTGATCATTTGTTGTACTGGTCTAATCATATAAATTGTGTCATTCAGCATGTGTGGTAGGAAAAGGCATCGCTGCTTCCATTAAATGTTGGTTATAACCAACCAGTGTTAGAAAACTCTGAATGTAAAGAGATGGGATACAGCTTAGGTCTTTCAGTTCACCTTGAGCAAATCCACTTCAGCAGGAACAGAACCCAATACTGAAAGCATTGCAGGAGAGATGCATTCGAGAAAGAAAGAAAAACATTCCAGGAATAAATCTGCACTGGACTGTGAAATCAAGGAAATATTTTATTCCTGAATGCACAAGAAATATGAAGATGCATTCCAGAAATAAGGCTCCTGGAACCATTTTACCCAGCTGGTACTACCAGAACACCTTATGAGCCTGGCCTTCCTCTCTCCCTCTCTCCTAACAGTGTGGGATGTTAGCAGAGAAAGTAATTATTTAATTAATTCAACTAGGTGTGCTTCTTTTGTTTCTGAGGAGATCTCTCCCAGGTAGGTTCACCTCTCTAGCTGAGTCATGGATGCTCACTTTTCCACTTTGTGTGCCCTTCAAAAGGATGAGGACTCAGTCTCAGGCACAAACTGATATGGAAAAAACGACACCATTGAACAAAGAACTAGCGAAGAACTAGCTGGATGTACCAGCTCAAGGAAGTTTTCATGACATTGATTGCAAACAGTCTAAATAGCTTTTTCTTTTTTCTTACGGTATTTGTACGCAAGAGTTGGCATCGGTGTTGAGGTCTCTTACCAAACATCTGCTGTAACTGTGGGCTGTTAATCAAAAGCATTTCTTATGAAAGCCTTAAACAATTTAGCGAGACACTTTTGCAGTGTAAAGATGGCTTAAATAAAGCTTTAAGTCAGACTTGTTTTATAAACCATTTATTTATACATTCTATTCTTTGTTTCTTTAACAATTACATATTAATCATACCATTCTTTTGACAAGAAAAACAACATGAATGTACTACAGAATACATCACAGGTACTGGAAGTGTCCAGTAGCTTCAATACTCTGAATCTATAGACATAACTACATAGAAATACATGCTACTTACTTCAGTCATTGCTTGTATGCTATGTGTACTTCCCAAATGTCAAATTACTCCTCGGGGGAGCTGGAAAGTGTCAGGGGGGTCTGCAGGGGCACAAACAAAGCTGGAAAAAAAAATGTCAGAACACAACTGTCAAACTGAAGCTCGACAAGAAACATGCTGCTGTCTAACTGTCCCACATTCCCTACAATATTCCCAAGGCTTCTGAAACATTTTACATATATACATATTTCCTGTTTATGTATAAATACTCAGTTACCACATATACACATTATGAAATCTTGCCAAACCCACATGCAGTTCTGGGAGTTAATTTGTCTACTGTGGTTTGTCCATCTTGGTTTTCTGACCCACCCTCTTGTAGTTTTGGATTTTGCTTTAGATTTGTTGCATGTGTTCTGAAGTGCCTTTGGCCTCTGGGATTTTGATCGTCTGGTCCTATTGGTTTGAACTTACATTGTACTTGTACTTGTGTTTGTTTTTAATCTCTATCCTACTTCAGTGCCCTGAATCAACATACGTGATGCAATTCGACATCATATGATGAAAATTTTTATCATCTGTAGTACATACTGATGCCAATGCCAGCTATTATATATATATATATATATATATATATATATATATATAGAGAGAGAGAGAGAGAGAGAGAGAGAGAGAGAGAGAGAGAGAGAGAGAGAGAGAGAGAGAGAGAGAGAGAGAGAGAGAGAAGAGAGAGAGGAGAGAGAGAGAGAGAGAGAGAGAGAGAGAGAGAGAGAGAGAGAGAGAGAGAGAGATGAGAGAGAGAGAGAGAGAGAGAGAGATCACAAATACAGAAAAATATTATGGAATATTATTACAATTTAAAATAATAAAATAATTTTAAAATGTAATATATTCCTTTGGTGGCAAAAATGAATTAATATTTTAAATAATTAATATGACGTTGATTTGGTGCTCACAAAACATTTCTTATTATTATCAATATTGAAAACTATTGTGCTGAAAAGCAACAGCATTTATTTAAAATAGAATTTGCTGTAAAAGTAATTATTGTCATGACGAATTTAATGCATCCTTGATATATAAAAGTACTAATTTCTTTAAAAAACGAATCTTACTGACTCCTTGCTATTTGAACATTTGCTACATTTCACAAATGTAACATTTAGGCACAAATTATTTTGGTGCCGATGCCATATAATGTTTTGATCCAAGACACTTTCTCACAGCTGGGAAAAATGATCTATTCATCCCTTATATCCCCTCCATACACACTCCACTCCAAAACCTTTGTCCACATGTCACAATCTATTGTGGGATTCATCTCAGTCTAAACTGATTCTCTCATTTCCCAGAACAGGCATGACTCACACTCCCTCTGTCCTATTCTCTTCCCAGTTCAAGAGGGAAGTCTACTATTGCATCGAATTAAGTCCAAACTCCTGAGGCAATGAGCGATGACTACATCAAAGAACCACCGTTGCTGAGGTTGCATTTAATTCCAGTGCTGTTTAAAAGAACAGTTCATCCAAAAGTCTGTCATCGTTTTCTTAGTCATAGTTTTTCAAAACTGAGTTTGCTTTCTTGGAATACAAAAGAAGAAATTTTACAGAACATTCAAACTGCTCTTTCCCATTCAACTAAAGTATAAAGTAACAAGGGGCTGTCTGTCATGCGCCAAAATGTGTTGTGGACCATGACAAAAAGACAACAGCCGTGGTTAAACCAAGAAAAATACTGATAAAGGTAATCACTCAAAATAATTTTTAAATTATTAAAATAATGACTCGTGAGATGACTAAACGCTGTGACCAAGTGTGACTGCTAAGATTAAACATGCAGAAGGATGAATAAGATTTGAGAGCTATGGCAGAGGCGACGATCTTTTATGTATAATATTTTATACACAAGCCCAAAGCTCATATTTTGGCAATCTGAGACAGTGTCAGCTTCCAGGTTTCGGTTTTTCTGATTGCCTGAGCTCATCACCACAAGAACAACCACTGGTCCTGTTCAGGCATGTCTGAGACGCTCCACAACTGCTCTGAGAAGGCAGTCTGAGGACGTTTAAGAGAACTTACAAAATGTAACAATTACTGCTGTCATATCACAAATTCTCAAATTTTAGCTAAAGTCTGGACGAGTCAACATTAGTTGCCGAAAGTCAGAGACAGTCTGCACTCTGCACGTATTTTGAGCAGTGTATGATGGACACTTTTTTAGCTTAACTTTATGATTCTACCCAGTCGGAGGTGTATCAAAACATGTATGATATTTTGAGCCGATTTAACAACACGCAGGCTGCATCCGAAAACGTAGGCAGTGACTTGTTGCCTCGCTCCCCTATCAGGCAATGACTTTGCAGGCAGCGTCTGCGCACGAAGGTTCCTCGCGAAACTGATTTCGGACAGACTTCTGAGGCAGCGTAACGGTTTAATGATCTACATCAAAATAGAGCGAGATTTGGTGAAAACTAAGTGAATATTTAATGACTAACTTCTCTCTAGAAATCACATCATAACTGAAAAACATTCATAAAAAATTTACATTTACACACAAACTGACTACCAGCCACAACTTTCAGACGCCATTTTTATTTTTCTAGCTCAACTGTCACAGAATGGAAACCACAGGATTGTGGGATATCAAAGGAAGCAAAGGATACATCTATGCTGCCTTCAAAAATCGATCAGATAAAGGTATCTCAGGAGGAGACAGGAAGTGAAACTAACATTGCATTCAGACATGGCTTGATGCCTTCCAACCTTGAAATGTGTCCTCCGAAAGCAGCATTTATCAGTTTTCGAAAGCAGCATTTATCCGTTTTTTTCGGACGCAGCCATTGACTATCTAAAATTGCATACTTCCCTACTATATTGAAAGCAAAAAACAGTATACAAAATAAGTATGTCTAAATTCACAGTACTCATAAAACAGTAGGCATAAAGTACCCTAATGACCTACTACTTCCAGAGAGATTCTAAAGTGTGCATACAATGGACACTTTACTATCCCATGAGGCCACAGGAAGAGAATTTGTGAATGGCAGTGAAGCAACACACCTGCCACTGTTAGGTCACATGATAATGACAATATGGCAAATGTAGTAGGTCCAGATAATATTCATACTACACACATTCATACTATATAGAACATACTTTTTAAAGCGGTTGCGAAGTAATTACTTTAAAATAAGTAGCCTACCTACTCAAGAGAGAATGCGATTTCGGACGCAGGCATGGTTATTTGTCATTCGTCTCTTCGCAACAAGCTGCATGTTTCTGGGTGATTTTGTTGTGTTTGGAATTAATTTAAAGACTGATCCTCAGTCACCAAGTGTTTTACAATCTGTTCAGATTTTAAAAGTCGTGTAGTGTACACCACCGAGCTGTTCCCCAAGCTATAAGTTTTCATCTGCCCCTCATGTTTGCTTAAGCGAATGGTGGAAAATATAACACAAACCCCCACAGTTATGCCTCTGGCAAGCGCTATCCAAATACTGTCTACAGCAGTGCTCTGACCCGAGTCCAATGCAGTAGCCTACGTTATTACCACAAAGAGTGAAAGCAGAACAGTGGAAAGGTTGTGATAAGCTCTGGTAACATGGAAGCGCTAAGACATTTTACTGTGTTTTGGGAATTGGATGGAGCGCTGGTGGTGCATCAGACCACCACGTTCTGGGAGAGCTAATAAGAAATGCAACAGATGGAGGAAAAGTCAAGCCTATCTACAGCATTAGATAACAGCTGGAAATGACAGAATCTCCATGGCCACAGAGGAAGATCTAGACTTCCTTTTCCATGTCACAAGGTCTCCAAAGAGCCAAAAGCTGTGATCTAACTAGAGATGAGGTTGTGGGAAATATGAATGTGATTCAGAGTGTCCAGTGCTGGTTTTGCTGACAGTCCAACCGTAGTTGAGCGCATGAAATGACTGTAAAACTTTTAACTTTTAAAAGCAAAATAATAATCTTGATCAATTAACAGATACGCCAAACACACAGTAGGCCTATGCGTCTATGTGGATATAAACAACACTGTGATTTGGAGATAGATAGTAGGCAGTGGGTAGAGGAAGTTCTGGACATTTTTAAGTGTTACTTTTTCATTTGAATGGTTATAAATTGCTTTAACTTGTTCTAAATTGATCTGAAATCTCTCATCCCTTCGTACAACACGAACACTGGGCCAGAAGTCATAAGAAAAAAAGTTGCTCACCCGTATACAGACAAAAGTAAGACGTTTCAGCAATAGTTATTCCGTTTATGATTCGTACATTCATTCATTCAGGTGGAATCCGTGTCCCTTTCTCGGAAATTTTAGAATCCCACTCATCCCACACGAGTGTTTCAAACGGACTGGAGAAGTAATGTTTTGATCCACCACCGCCCACTGAATGGGGTGTGGACCTCTTCATTCAGTCAGACGTAGAAACTGGGATAATTTTTACTTCTGAAGCTAAAACAAAACATTCACCGTCTTATGAACTCGAGCTATGTTACCTTTATATAGTCTCGTAGGTAAAGGGAATATTAACAGTCTAACTTCACTTAAGCTATTTATGGCGTCTAAAACCGTAAACATACTATTCACAAATTTCACATGGTAACCCTTATTAGCAAAACGTTTTTTGTGTAATTATTATTATTATTTTAAAGCCTTGAGAGCATACTAAATAGGCTATTCCTCTCATACCAAAAGCTTAGTCTAATTAGCATATTTTGCTATTCAGAACGCGCCTAAATTAAGGTTGTCTAACTGTGTTTTTTTATCTGTTTGTTTTAGCTGTTTGTGTGCATGATTGTAAAGTGGACAAATAATTAAAATGTTGTGCTCTCATGCAGTTTATTATGTTAAAACTATTTAAAAATACTCAGGCAAACCCGCAAAGAACACATAGCTACTGTGAAGAATAAGGTCTTTCATAAACAGGTATGACCGGTTGGTTAGCTTTTTGGCTTTTTGTTGTCGGGACTCGGGCGTCTACATGTAAAATGTTGGGAACGGCGCCCTCTGGTGTTCTCATAAAGGAACAGCGTACACACTCCTGGGCAAAAAAAAAAAAAAAAGGCTAAACGCTAAGCTTTTAATTTTCTCACC